CATTAAATTCCAGTGAAATATATTTATGTTTGTGGTTGTAATGTGACAAAATATGGAAAAGTTCAAGGGGTATGAATACTTTTGCAAACCACTGTAGATGAGGGTAGGAACGTCGACCCCGGTAAACCGAGAGCTTCGCCTTCTGGCTCAGCTCCTGCTTCACCACAACAGACCGGTACAGCGCCCACATCACTGCAGACGCAGCATCAATCCGCCTGTTGATCTCCCGCTCCATTCTTCCCTCATTCGTGAACAAGACCCCGAGATACTTAAACTCTTCCACTTTGGGCAGGACCTCCTCCCCGACCCAAAGAAGACAGCGTACCCTTTTCCGGCTCAAGACCATGGTCTCAGATTTGGAGGCACTAATCCTCATCTCGGCTGTTTCACACTTGGCTGTGAACTGCTCCAGTGAGAGCTGGAGATCAGGATCTGATGAGGCCAACAGGACCACATCATCCACCAAAAGCAGAGATGTGATCCTAAGGTCACCAAAACCGATCCCCTCAACACCTCGGCTGCACCTAGAAATTCTGTCCATAAAAGTTATGAACAGAATCGGTGACAAAGGGCAAGTTAGTAATTAATTTCTGTTAATTATCACATCTAAATGTTTTAATTGACCTACATTTACAGTATGTGACTATCTGTATTTTAGTCTGATTTTGTTCCGACAGCAACAATTTGTCAACATAATTCAGCACGAAGATGCAACCTKGACAACTGAATCTACATGTCCTTTCATAAGTGGGATTTTCAGAAGAAAGCTCTAAATTGTGTTTTCTGTGAAGCCACATTCGACTAGCTTTTATGGATAAAAATAACAAAATCTTTTAATGTCTCAAAGAGGCTCTTGTTTGTTTTTTTATAGCTGTAAATTAAGTTTTCCTGTACATAACTTCCTATAGGTGAATGTTCCCTCTAATTCACTAAAACTCACCTATAAGTTGGGTTGTAGTTGTTTATGTTAATCTATWCAACAATTAGTAATTTATAGCTTAAATTATAAGTAGCTAAAACAAACATCTGATCATGTAAAATAAACACCGAGCTTATTTATGACCCTTGATGTGTCATTATTCTGAAAGACTTCCTGTTTTTACTCTGGTGTGTGCTCTTGCTGTTCTCTTGTGTTTATGCTCTGCAGAAGTTTTCACAGGTATTTCAGGTCTTTCTGATATAGACTGTCTTCTGTCTCTTTAAAGGTTTCCCCATCGTTCCTGCCGTCACATACGCAGTCGCTCGTGGACTCTTCTACAACGATAAGTAAGAACTGTGTGTTTACTGATGCTCCTCTGATCTGTTAGGTTGATTACTCAATTATTGTTATTGATCGGCTGTCAGTTGATTCTATGCTCTGGACCTCTTTTTCCTTTCATCTTTGTTTTGTGGCTTTAGTGGATTTAAAAAGATTCAAGAAGAAGTTTTAGGAAAATGATTGAAGACCGTCCTTTTTTTAAAAGATTTTTAATGATTAAAAACAAATTCTTAATTGTGTTGCTTATGGTTCTTGATTTTTTTATTGTTTGAGATTCATAATGGGTGGAATGCCCTCTCCGAGTTGGAGGAGAGTCTCTGCCTCAAGTAGAGGAGTTTAAGTATCTGGGTGTCTTGTTCTTGAGTGATGGTAGGATGGAGCGGGAAATGAATCAACAGATCGGGGCCTCATCCTCGGTAATGAGGGCGTTGCTTCGGTCGGTCATGGTGAAGAAAGAGCTGAGTCGAAAGGCAAAGCTCTTGATTTACCGGTCTGTCTTCGTTCCAACCCTCACCTGTGGTCATGAGGCGTGGATGATGACCGAAAAATGAGATCCCAGATACAAGCAGTCGAAATGAGCTTCCTTCGTAGGGTGGCCGGGCTCAGCCTTGGAGACAGGGTGAGGAGCTCCGTCCTCTTGGGGGAGTTCGGAGTAGAGCTGCTTCTCCTCCACATTGAAAGGAGTCAAGTGGTTCGGGCATCTGATTAGGATGCCTCCTGGACGCCTCCCTTTAGAGGTGTTCCAGGCACGTCCCACTGTTAGGAGGCCCTAGGGAAAAGCCAGGACTTGYTGGAAAGTGTCGCTGGGGAGAGGGATGTCTGGGTTTCTCTGCTGGACCTGTTGCCTCTGCGACCCAACTATGGATAAGTGGAAGAAGATGGAGAGAGATTAATAAAATGTAAACTAAATACAAAAGGAAAAAAATGTATAGGTCCTCTGGACGGGTTCTTCTTTAATGAAACGTTTCATCTCTCTTCCAAGAGACTTCTTCAGTCTGATAGTTTCAGGCAAACTAAATACAAATTCAATCTGTTATCATTAGTATTAGTATTAGTATT